TTTGAAAAACAGGGACCCCGCCTCCTTGAATAACTGGAAGAACGTAGGGACGGGCAGTGGGCTGAGCTGCTATAGCCAGCCCCTGGTCCTTAAGGGGTCTGTGTCAAAAGGAGGAAGAGATGCAGGTGGTACTTGGGGTTCCAGCCTGGGCCAAGGACTCCTCAGCATCTCCACAAATCTCCCAAGATGAGGAGTAGAGGGGTGGTTATAATGTTTGTAGATGATACAAACCTTGGGAAGAGGGGTTGCTAATGTGTTAAAATACACGCTCAAGATTCGAAAGGTCTAGACCAGGGGGCTCCAACCTTGGCAACTTTAAGACTTGTAGACTTCAACTCCCAGAATTCTGGTTGCCAGAAGTTTCACACTTCAAATCCGACCAGGCTCAAGGTTGACTCAGCCTTCCGGGGTGGGTGAAATGAGGAGCCAGATTGTTAGGGCCAATAGGCTGACTCTGTAAACCACTTAGAGAGAGCTGGAAAGCACTGTGAAGCAGTGTATGTCTTGTTCTATTGCTCTTCCTTTTCCCCCTTCCTTCCTTTCCTTTCCTTCCTTCCATGCATGGTGCACAGTGATTAGAAGGCAGTATTGCAGGCTGACTCTGCCAACTGCCAATAGTTCAGTCTTAACTGGCTCAAGGCTGACTCAGCCTTCCAGCCTTCCAAGGTTGGTAAAATGAGGACCCAGACTGTTGGAGGCAAGAGGCTGACTCTGTAAACGGCTTAGAGAGGGCTATAAAAGCATTATGAATCAGTATATAAGTCTAAGTTCTATTGCTATTACTCTTGCTTCAGCCTGCAATCCAAAAGACGTCCACTAGATGGAAGTGTGCTACTCCATTAGGGACAGCCCAGCTACAGGAGAAACCAGCATTCATCTGCATGCACCAGAGCCAAGAACCGGAGGGCAGGAGCGGAGTCCCCCGGCTTGCATTGCTCCAGGTTGTGGGCCCCTACTTTGGGTGCAGAAGAAGACCCCTTTATCTTATTGCAATGAAAGGCCAGTACATGCATAAAACTTCCTCTCTGAGCAAATCACAAAATGAACTCTGCCTAGCAATCCCGCAGTTGTGCATGTTGCATACGGAAGGCAGCATTCAGCAACATGTTAAAAGTTGTGAATGTGTGAAATTAAAAATAAGAGACTATGAGAAGAACATCTGAAAGTAAAAAAACTGCAAGTACAACTGGTCAGAATTTAGGTGGGGAAATTTGCCTAAATGTGGGGTTGTCAATTCTGACCATGCCGGCAACAAAACAATATAATTAAATGTGTGCAGGGGTTGATAAACCCTTCACTGCGTGGCAACTTTGGGGTACTAATCTGCCAAGAGATGTTGCAAGACTTATTGCGTCTTCCGGAGATGCCTGGGCCACACCTGCATTATGGGAATGAACAGAATAGAATAGAATAGGAATGAATAGATAATAGAATAGATAGTAGAACAGAATGCAGAATAGATTAGAATAGAACAGGGAATAGAATGGAATAGAATAGAATGGAATAGAAAACAGAATAATAGAAAATGGAACACAGTGGAATGGACCAGACCAGACCAGACCAGAGATGGAGACTAGAGCTGGGACTATGCCATCCCAGACAGAAAGCTGTCCATTATTTTTTTTATTGAAGACTTCCAACAACAGAACAACTCTACGGGAAAAGCTGTTCCACAGATTAATGGTTCTCAGTATCAGGAAATCCCTCCTTAGATCCAGATGGGGTCTCTAATGATCTTCCACCTATTGCTTCTTGCCCTGCCCTCAAGTGCTTTGGCTAAAAGGTTGATCCCCCCCCGCCCCTCTCTGTGCACGGCCCCTAAAGGACGAAAAGGCAGCCATTATATGTCAATGCATCCTTCTCTTTGTTAGGCTGGACTTAATTAGTTCCCTTAGCCATTCACCACACAGTTGAGCCTCCAGATCCTTTATAATCTTTGTTGCTCTTCTCTGCACTCTTTCTAGGGTCTCAATATCTTTTGTATCCTGGTGATACAAAATCGGACACAGTGTCCTCACCAGTGCAGTACAGTATTATGCTCTATGTGGGGCAACACCCATAAAAGCCAACCCAGTTCTAAGCCGCGTAAACAGAGGAGGGATCGAATCAAGATCACGTGTTAATACCACTTTATAAGGCCTTGGTGAGGTCACGCTTGGAATACTGTATCCAGTTTTGGTTGCCACGGTTGAGACTCTAGAAAGAGTGCAGAGAAGAGCAACGAAGATGATTAGGGGTCTGGAGGCTAAAACATATAAAGAACGGTTGCAGGAACTGGATACGTCTAGAGAAAAGGAGGACTAGGGCTGACATGATAGCAGTGTTCCAATATTGGGGGATGGGGGAGGCTCCTACAAAGATGAGGGGGTCGAACTATTTTCCAAAGTACCAAAAGGCAAAAAGGCAATTGATGGAAACTAACCAAGGAGAGAAGCAATCTAGAACTAAGGAGAAATTTCCTAACAGTGAGAGCAATCAACCAACAGAGAACAGCTTGCCTTCAGGAGTTGTGGGTACTCCATCATGCAGGAGGTTTTCAAAAAGAGACTGGACAACCATTTATCAGAAATGGTATAGAGTCTCCTGCTCAAAAGCAATAGCCCTTAGACTTACATACTGCTTTATAGTGCTTCACAGCCCTCTCTAAGCGGTTTATAGAGGTCAGCCTGTTGCCCCCAACACTCTGGGTCCTCATTTTACCCACCTGGGAAGGATGGAAGGCTGAGCCTGGTGAGATTTGAAGTGCCAAATTGCAGGCAGCCGGCAGGCAGCAGAAGTAGCCTGCAGTGCTGCACTGTAACCACTACCCCCCACTGCAGCTCAAACAGTGGGTTGGATTAGAAGACCTCCAATTGGATTAGAAGACCTCCAATTCTATTATTGTATGTTGTATGTTCTCCTCATGATCTTGATGCTACCTCTCTGTTGGTGCAGCTAGGACTGTGTTGGCTTTTTTGTT